TTTACATTTCCTCTTCTTCACAGGTACATCTCAACTCTCTATGCCCACGATAAATTCCCGAACGTAACACACGACCAGATTCAGAAAGAACTCCGGGCATCAGTAACGAGTGATTGGAAATGGAAGCTGCTCAACTCTGCCTCTTACGTCACCAGTATGATCGCCAAGTACAAACGAGGCCAACCCGTCTCTTTCACAGACTTCTTTGGACATCTACTGGGTGATGTCCTCTTAAAAGGGGTATGTCATATTCGATCTTCCCCCTTTTTTTTGGGGGGGGGGATTGATTTTTCTCGAGCACTTTAAAAAAAGATACGCTTGCCATTTGATTTAGTTCTATTAAATATAAGACTGTGATCATGATAATAATGATTACTCTTATTTTCATCATCATTATCTTTCACTTTCAAGCTATGATATCATGACTCAAAATCTATTTCAGGCCAAGCACAAAAAGCTGACAGACACACAGAAGATTTTGGTCCAGGGTATAGTGCCTATGCCTCTCTACACATGCCTCCATGCCAAGCGAAATGTCTCGTGCCGGTCTTTCTCGGTAAGCATACGTCTTCAAAGTTTACGAAGGAACTAGATTAAGGAATTATTTGTTTGTTTGTGAGAGGACGTACCATTTGTGAGTGATGTTATTAAGGCAAATGTGTTCAATGGTTGTTAGTTTTTATTCTTATTCTTATTATTTCTTTATTCGTAATATTCCAGGAATGGGTAGAATTTTCACCCTATGAGATTGGCATCGCTAAGTATGGTACTTTTATGAAATCCGAGGATTTTGGAAACAAGTTTATTGTTGGGAAGAAAATCAAGCATTTTGAAGAACTTCCCTTACATTTTCTGCAAGGTAAGATCAGTCTTCTTTTTTATTGATTTTCCTTTGATTTCCCTTCCCACTTTCTCGACTATTGTGTTATCATGGAAGCATTGTAGTATATAATCACTCGAAAAGAGTAGAACACATATTTTTCATTAGTGTTTAAATGTATGAATCAACACACACACACACACACACACACACACACACACACACACACACACACACACACACACACACACACACACACACACACACACACACACACACACACACATCATTGAAGGTTTTTCTTAATGACGTTATGATTCCGGTTCGCAGGTGTGTGGGGAAGCGCCTTTACCATCCTCATTAAGAGGTTAGTGATGGAAGGTGGAAAGAAGGACATTGTGCAGATTATGAGAGATGCACAGAAAGAAAGTGATTTACATGGTGAGTAATGCATGTACTATCAATGCTCATAATGTTGCTTGTGCTAACTTATCTGATCATTTTCGAAAAGATTCTTGTTACATATAGAATGGATAAAAAAGTGGAACGCATTTGGTAAAGACACGGGGTTGTTTCCAAGGTATCATTTGCTGATTTTCTAGTTCATTGTAAAATTGCTTGAGAATACCCGAAATAAGAAAATATTTTTTTGTCTTTTCAGATAAGATCGACGACCTACACAGCTCAGGAGACGACTCAGAGACAGAGGACGAAGAGGACATCGAGGGCCATGATGACAAGGAGATCGACGACGAAGAAGAGATCAGCATGATGAAGCTGAGCCTCACAGACCAGCCGGCCGCCGAGGGGGAAGCCTCAGCCGCTGGCGCCGGCAAGAGCGGGCATGCTGAGGCCACGGAAGAGAGCCGCAGAGTCTCGGTGGCTGCCATGGAGACCAGACCTCAGCCCGAACAGAAGCCCGCCAGGAAGAGTTTGAACAAGATTGCGAAGTCGATGGATAGTCTCCTCGGCAACAAAGCCCAGAGCACAGAACAGGAGGCATCAGAGAGCCGAGACATCTTGCCCAAAGCTTTCAGTTTTGACACGACGAAGAGGAAAGTCTCCAGGGACGTCCCCAGGAAGTTCAGCACCGAGAGTGACCCTGGAGTTAGGACGGAGTTTCAGACGCAGGGAGCTTCGAGGCTCGTTCGCCAGGGGGCCATCAAAACGGCGCGTCTCAACAAGGCGAAGAAAGTCGACGAGAAGGAGGAGGCGAATCCAGGGCAGAAAGTGTGGGCTGAGAGGAGGTGAGTTGAAATCCGTTAGTCGAGTTATAACGATCACCTTACCTTTTATTCACACTGCCAAATACAGTTTATCTTAACATATATTACACAGACAGGCAGATAGATATAATGAACATACATTTATACGTTTACTTATGATTTCAGAAAAACTCTACGGAAGACCAGGGTTGAGAAAAAGGCAGGTTTATGGGAAGGCCTGAAGCAGAACATCATGTTAGGCACCAACATACTTAACTCCCGAGCCGGAAGAGCAGGAGAGGTACTGAACCCCTTCCGAGGACTTTCCCTTAGACATTCATTCCCAATCTCTCCTTTTGCAACAGATGGAATGGATGAGGAAGATCAGGTTGATTCGGGTAAGGATGTTTGTTTTGTCTTTTCTTTCTCTTTCCAAATATCATCATTTCTTACTCCTGTTTCCACCTTCTTCGGTAATTGTCTTTTATGTCCCTTTCACAGAATATCCATTTTTCTTTAGTTTATTTGCTCATTTTCGTAATACGCTTCTACTTCCTCTTTACAGATAACTTCGGCGCAGGCTGTAGGTACGAACCGCTAGATAACAAAGCCAAAAAGTTGTTCATCGTAGACTCCGGCTTGGCTTTCAACTCTCCATATCCACTGCTCTTGAGGCCACAGAGAGCCGTTGATATATACCTCTCCTTCGACTTCTCCCAGAGGCCTGAGGACAAAGCACAGCCCTTCAAGGAACTGCTGTTGGCTGAGAGATGGGCAATACAAAACAAGGTTCCTTTCCCACCCATAGAAAAACAGGTGAGTTTCCTTTCTTGTGAATAACTGTAAGATTTTTTTCCTGAAAGGCAAATCTTGCAACTATTCTAAATGCGTTTATAATGATATTTGGTATAGAATGCTTAGAGACTAAATATATGTCTAATTCAATGACAGTCCTAAGTTATCAGCACATTTAATAAAGTATTTATAGAAAGATTTTGAGTGGGCTAATCTTGGATCGAATATATTTGCGTTGTATTTAATAAGAATTCTGCTTTGTTCTAAACTCCTAAATTCCTTTCAGGTTGCGCAGTATGAGAATGAAGAAGTTCGTGAGTGTTATGTGTTCAAACACCCAACTGACCACTTCTGTCCCGTTATCTTGCATTTTCCATTAGTCAATAACAACTTCAGGAAGTTCAAAGCTCCAGGTAAATTTGAATGGTGTAAAATTATCATTGGTTTTATGTAATGTCTTTAGCTTTTGTGAGTTTTTATCTTTTTTTGTGATTTAAATTGTTGTTTTAAATGCAAAGGTAAATATCCCATAGACATAATGATAAATGAAAAGAGTATACATCTCTCTCTTAATACTTCTTGGATAATTGAAGAAGTGAGTGGATTTTATTACTATTGTTTTTAATTTTCTTTTATTCTAGGTGTACCTCGCGAAACCGAAGAAGAAATGGAGTTCGCCGACTTCCCTATCTTCGACGACCCCAACAATTCCTTCTCATCCATGAACTTCGTGTACGAACCCGAGCAGTTTGACCGGCTGACAAAACTCGTAGAATTCAACACCCTCTTCAGCATAGACACCATTAAGAAAGAGCTCGAGGAGATCACCGAGAGGAAAAAGAGCTTGACCTCGAAGACGCTGACCTTCAGTGATGTGGTGAAGACGGTTAAACGTGTGTCGAGTTTCCAAAATAAGAACCGCGGTAGAGAACTGAAGCTAACTGTGTCTCAGCAGAACGAGGATCTGTTGAAAAAGTATGTGAATGTGAACAGACTTGCTGAGGCTGACAGTTCAGACGAAGAAGAATTCACTGATGCTCTTCAAGAATTGTGAGAAATGAGGGTTGAAGAAGAGATATTTTTGTAATATTATTTATAGTGATTGAGAACTCATGTTGATGAGCAAAGTGACCAGTGTCTTAAGCCCATGTCTCACCGTGGTAAATGGTAGTGCAGTTCCTTTTATTTTCCACTTTTCATTCTCCCTTGTCTTCTTTATCACGTGCCCTCTACCCACTCTTCTCCATACTACCATTCCCGTCATCAGTCGTAAAGGAAGCGTTTGATTTGGATGCGATAATGTCGAGAAATTAGTAATACTATGTATGGTTACAGCTGAGAATATTATTTATATTTTACAAAGTTGCATGTACTCAAATATTTGCTGCAGAATCCATTGTTTGTGCTTTGCGAATACAGACGTATTATGTTATATTTTGGCTAATGTTTGGTTTTATACCATTCATGATATCGGTTCATGAGTTGATAAGCCCTACATTCTGGGTATTTATGTTACCAAGCTTTTATACTAACCATTTGCAATTTTTACTCTCTTGAATGAGAAACAAACGCACTGCTTTGTCAAGACAATTGAGCAAAAAAACAAAAAGATTCTTATAACAATGGATAGGTATAAGCAAATTATTTTATCATTTTATCATGATATGTGATCATTGTATGAAAATGTGCATCTGTTATATATTCATGGATAATGACTCATGTTGCATGGTTGAATCTTCATTCTTCACCTGGTCTCTCAATATGCAGAGAGAGAATGCTCATGTAAAATATATGTAGGTTCAGAGGTGCCTTGGGGAACATTGGATGTGTAGCTGGCTGTTAGTGATATATTTCTTTGAACGCTGTACAAAGTGAAGATTTAGTTACAAATGAAGTATATCAGCAGAGTTTTTGCTGATTCAGTCTGACTGCATGATTATGATTAAGACATAACTGGGGTCTGTGGTAAAGTTACAGTTTTTTTCTTTAGCTTTGACAAGGAAGCGAGGAAAGTTTACCTGTGATTGAAATGACACTTTTTGTATTGACTATTAGGGTACTCTGTGATGGCTGTACAAAGTTAATCTATTTATTTCCACGTTGTAATGTATTGTTTGCACACGCCTGTTACTTGTTTAAGGGCAAAAATACATTTCCAATAAAGAAAATTTACATAAAAA